GACCGGGGGGGGCCGGTCCCCGGGGACGCCTGCTGCCTGCCGACCCCCTGGCGGGACCCCCCCATCGCCCGGGCAGGCCGGCAGTGCTCCCCCCTCCTCACCCGCAGCACGGCCCCCTTCTGCAGAAGCAGCTTCTGGCCGCAGCAGTAGCAACCCTCTCTAAAGGACTATGAAAAGGACAAGAGTTGAGTTTAGTGCTTACATTGGTAATTCCCAGCCGGACCTAAAGCTGGCAGGAGCGAGAGGGGAACGTTCCCCCTAAGTGGGAGCATTGCCTCAGCCGCACCAGGGCATTTTCTGACCATAGCTGAACTCATCCCAGCCCCGGGGCCAAAGCCAGGTTTACATAAGCCTGTAATCTCCTGCTGTAAATGACTTTTTGTGTTTGGACAATACAACATTTTTGACATCTTTGGGCTTGAGGACTTGGAAATCCTCTTGTGGAGTTCAGACCTTGATTAGAAATGGACCCAAAGCCTTTCCACTGGTTTTGTTCACCTGTGAGTTTGCATCGTTAAGTCAACAACTTTCCATTCTTGTTATGAAAATCAGTTTGGTGTAACTGACCTGTGAAATCAATCCGATGCGGGAAAAACATGCCCAAGAAGAACAGCCCACACTGCCCGTCCACGCCGTCACAGCGGGCTCTGTGCCGACCCTGGGCAGCGGAGCTGTGGGGACGTCCCCCACCGCGCACCGGGGCTTGAGCCAGGGCTAGAGCCCAGCCAAGCTTCACATCTGAAACAACCCAAAGCTGAAAACATAGCACCAGGCTTGACAGGCACGGAGCCCAGCCGGCCCGGGAGCCACATCGGCTCTCGCGGGGACAGGGACAGGGACCGGGATGGGGACGGGTCCTGCTCCCACCCCCCAGGAACCTGCCTGCCTGACTTCTTGATTGCAAAAAGATATTGAACCAATTTAGGCATTTCCTGGTGCCATCTATTGGCTACACAACCAATTCTCGACAGTTCACGTTCTCCCAAATGAGCACCTCGTGGTCGAAACCTGATTTGCATGAATCTATTATAAATCATTTTCTGTGTGACCTTTAAGGCAGGAAGTTTCCGTTCGAGCTATCCTTTGCTAAAATTTCAGAAACAGCACCTGGGATTTCAGAGGCACTGGGGCACAACAGGGATTTGAAAGTCAGCGAGGTAAATCATTAGAGCCCCAGCAACTCCAGCCCATTCCAGAAATGGGAAGAGGCGCCTGGCAGGGTGCGCGCAGGGTGTTTGCAGAGCTCTGTCGGCTCCCCTGTCCTTAACTCTCTGCCGCGGTGATGGGTTTCCAGGAGCAGCTCGCGGGCACACCTGGCTGCCCGGGGGAGCACGTGCACCATGCACGGTCACCGGCGCAGCCCTCGAGCAGAAGCCACCTCACCCAGGGCCACCATGGGTGACATGACGCCACCCGAAAGCCAGGGCAGGCTGACAGGGATGGCGGCACCGGAGACGAACGCTCCCGCTGCCGCGCCCAGGCAGGAGGGCTGGCATTTTGCTTGAACACCCAGAGGAAAACTCCTGTGGATCACGTCCACAAACTACAGTCAGGCATTTCCATTTTGGCAGCAAGGTAAGCACCTTATTTTTATGAAAAAGCATACCTTGGGACTCCGCTTCTATAGAAAAGTCTCAGAATTTGAACTTTCCAGCCAGCAGAGCATGCTTGGCTTCAGAGGGGAGCTGCAGGAGGAACAGCCTGTTACCTCCGAAAGCCAGGAATGCGTGCTGGAGTGATGCAGCAAGGGCACGCTAGTTACAAACCACGGGCACGTGCAGAGCAATTCGAGTTGTGGCCCTGATAAAAACAGGCGGCTGCTGCTTTCTTCCCGGCAAACACCGCGCAAGGAGCCCGAAGGGGGGGCTGATGGAAGGCGAGCAGCCCCTGCCTGCCCCAAGGCATTTATTTGCCCGCATGGGCCGTTCTCCCCAGCCTGCCCCCGGGAGCCGAGGGCACCTCTGCCACCCCCGGGTCATCACAGCGGCCGAGAGCCTGGAAGCTGCTCGGGCTGCAGCATCCCCTCCTGTTTTTTTAAGCAGGCAGAGCTCGTAGCTGGACTTGGCAAAAGGAAAAAGGAGCTGCAGGTTCCTACCGCCACAGGCAGCTGTTTATGAGCAGAGCAGGGCAAAACCACCTCTCAAGGCCAGGAAATTCCTCTGCACGGACCTGGGGTGGTGTGCTTTCTGCCTCTTCAAGCCTTTAAAAAAAGCAGCAGCCCGTACTGAAAGAACCAAACTTCAAGGAAGCAATTCAGGCTGCGGCTGCTTCCCCGAGCAGAGCATCGCCAGAACAGCCCCGCTCCCCAGGCACTTCCATCCGCGCTGGAGAAGCTCCCGTGTCCCCCCCCAGGGTGCCACCGGGGCATTTCACAGCCCTGCAGCCCGGCATGGCTAATGGCAGCAAGGTGGCATTGCCATCCTCTGCCACGGGCCATCAGCTTTGCACCGAGTTTGCAAGGCCTCAGTGCTGGGGCTCGGGGCTTCGCTGGCCTGGTCTCGCTGCGACGGCGATGCCTGCGGCCGGCCGGGCGCCCACGGGGAGTTTGCTTTACTTCTGCTTGTCTGTGCGCAGCACGGCCGTCGCTTTCGGCAAACAGCAGTAACGGGGCGCTGCTCTGCGCCGGGAGCACAGCAACGCACGCTTGGCTCCATGGACGTTTAGGGTGTGCTCGTCCTTGCGGCGGCAGGCAGGATGGAGTCACCCACGACAACGGCGTGTCGCGATCTTTGTCTCAGTGCTGCGAAAGCTGAGTGCAACCAGCCGCTCGGGCTGCAAATTTCCGAAACAGCCGCGCGGGGAAGGAAGCGTCGGGGGTGAAAGCAGAGAGCGGCAGAGCAGAACTGCAGGCGGGAAGGCAGAAACGCGGCCAGCCCTGAAAAGCCTGCAGCAAAGTGGTGGCTGAAGGGACAGCCACCGAGCACGACTCAGGGAGCGAAACCGGGGAGGTGCCGAAACCCGGGGCAGGTGCAGGAACGCAGGAACCCCCCCCACTACTTCAGCAGCGCCCAGCGCTGGGCCTTTCGTCTGCAAGGGGGGGTCCTGCAGCAGAGCACAGCCCTGACGCCGGGACGATTTTCCCTCTGGATTTGAAATGTTCCCAGCAGAACCCACAGCCCGTTTCACGGCTTTGTGGAAAAAAATTTCTGCAGCAGAAATTACAGGGCAAGAGAGCCCAGCAAGAAAACCAAACCAGAGATACTGCAAAGGTCATAAAAAAAGGGCAAGGCTGGGCTAGAGAGCTGCAAGGCTGGCTTAGAGAGCCTCAAGGCTGGCCCAGGGAACTGCAAGGCTGGCTTAGAGAGCCGCAAGGCTGGCCCAGGGAGCTGCAAGGCTGGCCCAGGGAGCCGCAAGGCTGGCCTAAGGAACCGCAAGGCA